AACATGAGTGAAATGAGGATGCCACATACAAAATAATGTCATACACTGAAAACACCAAAAACTACTAAATGGCATAAGTTCTGCTGAAGGTAAAAGCAAACTCCAAATAATGCAGTGAAGAGCTGTGTGGCATTAAACCACACAACACAGAGGAGACTCTTGGAAGAATCAGTCTCATCCACTTTTGGTGGGACATGCACGTGCTATAAATAAAATACAAAATATTGACATGTTTCTCTGCAAGACAAATTTGTGGTCTTTTTCAACTTATGATATCTACATGAGAAAGCCAAAGCACTGGCTGGCCTCTGCATTAGGAATATTGCTGTGCAGATTTACGTGGAGATCTTTTTTCTTTCTTCTAGGTTTCCCATTAAAAGCCCGTTAAGGTCATCAGTTCTGTTTCCAAACAGAGTTCAAGGGAAACATCTTTATCTGCTTTAAGTCATATATTGATTTTTCCAATTGGAACATGTTAACTCAAATCTTTTTTTTTAAGGTTAGGCCCTCAATGCAATTATATTTTAATGCTACATTGTGTCAGTCTAACTGATATACACACATTACATAAATAATTTGCATGTGGAATCATTCCATAAGAAGATGCAGAGCAAGGACTCCAAGACTCCTGCACTTTAAAAAAAAATAAATTTAAGTAATGTTCATCATCTACTTTTGATAAAGAAAGGTATAGTGGAGCCAAGACATACAGCTACTACTTTGCCACCATCTATAATCTGCACATTTAACAAAAAATGTTACTGAATGTGGCTACTGGTAGGCATTTAGAGCCTATCAATTTAGTCATTTAGAGACAATTGCATGGAGGGAATGCAGAGGAATAATTTTTAAAAAATTCCTAGACTGCTCTCAAAGTTTGAAGAGGGACCATGTTTTTTCTCCCAAAGTTAATTCTCATTGCACATACACGGGATCAAATCTCACCTGAAATTTCACGTGTGTACCTACCAACAAGTATCCCAAGGACCGATCCCTGGCACAGGGGCCAGCTTGCCCAGAACAGATTTCATCAATGTTATTTACCTCCTGAACTCCGTAACAGGCTGATCACATCCAAAGTGCCCACTAGAGATGGTACCTTGCCAGTTCCTGAATTGAGCACAGGCCAAAATCTGTGCCAGCAAGTGTTCTAACAACCAGTTGTACAGATGACTGAGCTACAGTGTCCCAGAAAATTTCCCAGCACTACCAAGTCCAGTGACATAGATGTAGTGTGGCAGGCTTAACATTAAGCCTTTAATGTACTCATTTTGGTCTCAGTCAAAAACATGATTCAACTTTTTTTAACCACCTACTTTAGGATGAAGTAATCTCTAAATAAGCTTTTGTCGCTCTAATTCTGACTAAAAGAGGCATCTGACATCTCACAGCATTATTGCTATTAAAGCAAGAGCAAAGCATGGGTTTTTGTGACATTTAGCCTTGGAAGCATATTAAATATGGTACGAATAAAGCTGAAGTGTGGTCTTTGCAAATAAGAAATGCATTTTACAAGTTTTCTTGTCAAGTGTTTTTCTTCTCTTGATGATCCAATACAAAATGTTGAATACCTCTTATTTTTTAATGCACATTGAATTTTATACAAGCTCGTGAGTCACAGTCCTCATGAAAAACTCTGGAGTTAAAGGAATTTTTCTCCACCTTTTTTTTTTCCCTCACCCTCAATATAAAGATGTTCTAGTAAGACAATGTTTTGAATAACCTTTGTATAATATCCCTGAAGAGTAACTGAGACCTCAGGGTAGTCAAGAGCAATGTAAGCCAAGAAGTTGTGCAAACACGCAGAATTTGATTTGCAAAACGAGCACAAAGAGCAACAATTGGTAAACAGAAGCTGCTTTGACATTGGAAGGAGTTGGAAGAATGGATGTGTGACTTTCCAACCCCCTCACCGTGACTTTACTGTGTATCAGCACATTCAAGTTTGAGTTGTGGGGATAATTGACACAGACACCTCTTCTGTTAAGATTTTAGCAGTTTTCTGAGACTTGAAGTCCTGGAAATGACAACACTTGCTCGGTATGCTCACAGGTGGCACAACTGTGCATTTTATAACTTCATTCTTGACATAACTTTAGTTTCATTTAGCTTCTTCAGGTTTCCACATGCATTTAAGACTAGCTCAAACTACAAATTACAAATCTATCATAAAAGCTAGTCTCTAAACCATTATTACAATTCATAAAAATAGTGCCTCACAGTTTGAAGGGTTTGCATCTGGTGATTATTAACTTGCAACAGGGTAACTGAATTTTGCATAAAATTATTTTTTAATATCAGGATGTTGTGAAGTACTAGGTCTTTCATAAAAACAGTGTAGTAACTTCCCTTTCCAATACTTATTTCTTAGTCTTTAAAAAATATTTATTAAATTTTTATCAATTTGTCTTTTCTTAATTCAGTTACATTAAATCAAGTGAATTAAATTACATTACAAATATTGGCAGTTCAGTATAGTAGCATATTGATTTCAGTAAATCTAGACTTCAATTTTTTGTTTTGTACAACTGTCACTGATCTGTCCAAGAGTCAGTCCTTACTTTTATACCCTTTTTCTCCCACTCTAGCAATTGAAGTCACTTAAATGATACCAAATGCAGAGAACAGCTCATGTTCTACTTGGGCTTCTGATGTTTCCAATTTACTGGAAATATTATTTTCAAAGAGAAAAACATATCAGGACAATCCAAGATTTTAGAAGCTATAACTGTCTTTTTTTAAAACAGGAGATTCGACATGTCTCTTGCAAATTCTACAAGCAATGTATTGGGAATCACTTATTTGTTCACTTGAGCTATTATCTATTTGACATGTTTGCAGTCTAGTTTGTTATTTAATATGAGCAAGGAAAATTTTCTAGCACCTAAAGTCTCCAGAGAGAGTCCATGGTCCTTAAAGAGCTACCAGAGGTAAGTACTGACCACCTCCCTGATGCAAGGTACAAACCCAAAGGAAAAGTGGCAAAAAGGAGGACTCTCTGTAAAGAAGTCCTGGAGCTGGCAGTCACTAAAAGGAACAGAATAAAGGCAGCCGCTTAGGAGCACTGAGGAAACAGAAAGCAAGGGCTGGATCAGAAAGTACTCACTGTTTACTGGTAAACTAGGGGCCAAGAAAAAATGACTTGCAGGTGGAAAAAAAATTAAGAGCAGTAAAAAGTAAGTATTGTTCACGGAACAGGCTGCATCTTAGATAAAAGAATAATTCAGAGCTTCATGATTCATTCATCCAGGTCCAAAAGTGCATGTTGTAAAGAAGGAAATCCAGACCATTACTGTGGGCTTTCCATTATTGTATTATCGTATTTTGAGGAATTGAGGCAAACAATTTTTTTATTCAACTTCAGAAGACTAAAATTATTTATAGATTCAGCATAAATTACAACCTTCTGTAATGAGTTGGCAGATACAATGACCAATAGTTCTTCTTCAAGATCACAATGTCTTTTGACTTTTTAAAACCAAAACACAACGCCCCCAATACACACACACACTCACACAGACACACACATACACATCAACCTTCTTGCATCACTTCTGAAGAGCACATTTGCAGTTTATCAGTAGTTTCATTTGTTAAGATCAAGTGAGGTGAAAGGCACCAATAGAACATTCTTTAAAGAGAACCAGACTAGTAGCTTATCTTAGGTAAACATACTGTCACACGGGAGAACAAACTACTTATATTTGTAAGGCCAGCATGTGGACATACTACAAAAAAGATTGAAAAAGAGCCCTAGATAAAACTATGCAAATACCTTTGTCCTTGTGTACCCCCTAGTGGCTGTCGAGGTTGTGCTAGCCTCACATTAAGCAGGCAATTTCCTCAACCAGACAGAATCAGAGTGCTTCCCTCTGCAACATCTCTTTTAAAGAGATGGAGATTCATGAGATCAGGGTTCTGAGCAGGCGAAAGTATGGATTATTTGAAGTTTAAAATTTACAACAAATTCTGCCTTGTTAGTTTAATGAAGTGAACCCAAGTTTTCCACTTAAAAAGTGCCAAGATACATCAAGCTATCCACACAGCAAGCATTCAGAGCATGTGCCTGTGTAAAAGTGGTGTATGTACACGCAGCATGCAAACTGTGGCAACATCAGTAAGTTAACCTGGTTATTACTCTTCCAGAAGTCCTCTCAGGTGGAAAAAAATCCAACACACAGGATCAGAGACTACATAAGAGCCACCTATGTATGAAATAGCAGTTTCAGACTACTGTAATTAAACTAGAAATGGCTGTTTTGTCTGTACATGCTGAAGAACTGGATTACATCAGGGACAAAAACTGTCATCCAGCGTAAGAACATTCTCCAAGCAAACAACCAATGTTTAATTTGGTTCGTCTTAAACAAACATAAAAGACTGTACAACAGACATTTCAAATAAACCCACTAAAAATCTCCACCCCTCACACCCAAACTCTCCAGTAAATAAAAGCAAAGGTCAGCACCCTAGTCAAGGTACGAAGTCCTCTCCATAATGGAAAAAACCTCAAGTCAATTCTCACTGCTAGGATTTATCAAAAGAATATAAATTCATTCCACTGTATAGTGGACCACACAGCTGGTAAAACATGTAAATTAACAACAGTCAAAAAGAACTCTTTTTCAAGAACTCTAGATGCAACAGCTAGCTGCATCATTCAGCTAAAGATGCAAGTCATTAAGAAACACCTTGAAAGCTGCTGAAGTGTTGAGCCTTCAAGAAAACATTACAAAATTTGTGCAGGAGGGAAGTATTGTGTGGCCTCTCATGATGCTGTGCCATTATAAATGAGGCACTCAAATTATCAACACGATGAAGCAAAGGGTGCAGAAATTAGACTAGATACCAATCCCTATATATTACAATAAAAAAATATCAAAACACTGTCTTGAAATAATATGAAATAATGCACATTCAAGATGAAGACTTCACAAAGAACAGGATGCACACCACAGATGTACAACACATAAGAAGTAAACTGAATCGCAGGCTACATGTACAACAGACATTACTTTTAATAAAAAGGTTCTTTTTTCTTCGGTACAGCATATGGACAGAGCTGTCCAGTCAGTCCTGCAGATAACTGAGATCGTTTCCCTTCAGACACAGCAATTAAGTAGTCAGCAGCAAGAACACTGGCTCTACTCTACATGGCAGGCACAGGTGTTTTTTCTGTACCCCAGATGTACATCAGAAAAAAAGCCATGTGATCATATAGTCTAACCAGCTCTTTGCTTATGCTATTCACCTGCACCATAGGTTCATAGGCAGCAATGCAAAAATCCCTCTTTCTGTGTGTTTACAGCTTGAGTTTAAGGTAGTCCTTTCTCCATTTTTGAAGAGAAAACCTGAACAAGTGGCCAGTCATTCATCCCCATGCCTGAGTTTTGCAATAATGCAGTACAAGCTTGCCATCACTTCCAAAACACTGCAAAAAAAAAAAAAAAAAAAAAAAAACAAAAAACAAGAGCTGTTACAATTATTCATGGGCCAGCATACACATGAAACAAAACAAAAAGTCTTCCCAGATAAACATGTCATGGAATATTGTCACGAGAAAGCTCCCCATTACAGTGAGAGGCATAAAAACACAATGCACACGAAGGAATGCATTTCCAGAGACTGCATGAAGTCACATCTCTCTGGATCCCATTTACACAGATCTGTGAATATCAACTACACCACATTAAATGCAAGCTATTAGTGCCAGGGGCAGTGAGAGATTTCAAGTGCCTGAGGTGTGCTGACAAATCCTGCTAAATGCATTTGGAAAGTATATTTAGGATGAAAGTTACCTCATAGAGGGTCCCCACTTCCTGGTCTGGAGATGGAGCAAAAGACTGGTTTACATATATGAACTGCAAGAAAATGAGAGAGGAGATGGAGATCACACAAGGACCCCACTGGGAACACAGAAGAATCACTCTGCAGTCAAAAATTCTGCTATAATCTTTAAGCACATAACAGACTATGACCAGTTACTATCTTCACTTCAGCGTGGGGGAGCAACAGGACCATGAGGAGTCACCTGTCTGGCCAGCCAGACCAGGGCAAAGTAAACGTGCTGACTTCCTTTTCCTGCAAGCTGACCCATTACTGTCCCACACAGCTGCACAAAGTGGTTTAGCTGTTGCTCTTATTTCAGCCCAATCCACTCATGCTATTCCAGATTTGCTCAATTAGAGAGTGGCCAACAGACAAATCAGAAACATCCTGTTATATTTTCAAGTCATCCTTCTCACTTCCTGCTCCAAAAAATGCATTTACACGTATAGCAGCTAATCCTCAATGACAAAGAGGGCCTTGGGATCTGCCGTGTGAGGCAGCAGTGGGTACTGAGGTATCATGTGCTGTTTCCAGATAAAAGATATAAAATTCCTAGGGCTTTGTTCTTTGAGTATAGCCTTAGGCTTCAGCCACACAGGAAGGCTATGTGTTCCTGGGTTTTCGTCCTGAGATAATGAGATGACAGTCACTGAATCAAACTGTTGAGAATGTCCTTAGTCAATATCATACTTATCACTTTTCTTTGAGATATTAAACCATGGAAAAGCAGATCCCTCATGACTTCCAGGTGAACCAGAAGGCCAGTGCATTTATGCCTATATACTTAAATAAAATCCTCCAAACCAAGAACAGAATGAATTCAGCTACACTTTAGTTAACTACTTTAATGAGTCTAGCTTTATCTGTATGTCTTCAATAAAAACTCTGGACTGTATTGAGAGTTCACTGCAGAACAACAAAATCAGTGCAGTTGTATTTCCAGCTCGTCCAGTGTTATCACGAGACCACTTTGGCTAGTCACTTCTGTAGGAAGGACCCCATAAATAACACTGTCAAACTGCTGCCCAAGGGCAAACACTTCCCAACTCCCCATTTTAAAAGCAAAATCAGTCCTATGACAGTAGCTAAACTGTTTTAGATGCGAGTTCTGAAGGAAACAGACACTCAGATTCAGAAAGCTGATCCCAAAAACTCTGGACTGGTTCTCCAATACTCTGTCTCTATACCTAGTTTCACCAGGTACACAGTGCCTAGCAATGTTTCCCTGGGACACACGGCTGCCCAGTGTGCACACAGCTCTGCCTGGCAGACACCGAGAAATACAGACACTGCAAAAACCCCAAAGGTCAGCACCGAGCATACCCACACTGCGCTGCAGCAGCTCGCTCAATATTACATACAACCTGGGGCCTACTTGGAATAGTTCTCTCGGTGCTCCTACTCCAAGTTTCCTGCAGGCAGCTGCAGCCTGGATTCCAACAGTCTTTGCAGGGTTTGACAACGCAGGCCCTGCACGCTCAGCCCTCCCCCAGTGCCCGCCCGTACCAGCTGTTCGGAGGCCATCAGCTTGAGAAACTTCTTGATGAAGTCCACGAGGCCCTGGATGGTCCGGGTTCTCTCCACCGCCCACTTCTTGGTCCTCATGATGGGGGTGTCGCCCACGGCCTTCAGCAGCACGTCAACTGCGGGGAGCGCCGCGTCACAGCGGGCCCGCCCCCGCCGCTCATTGGCCCGCACCGCCCGCCCGCGCCGCCCATTGGCCGCCGCGCCTGCCCGTCACCGCTCCCGCCCGCCCCGGCGGAGGCCTCCCGCCCCATTACTTTTCCTTTTTGCGTCGCCCGCGGGCTCTTCGGTGCCCGGCGACCCGACCGGGGGCGGGCCCGGTTCGGCGGGCCCCGCCGCGGCCGCGGGCCCGCCCCCCGTCCTCCCCGCCGTCGCTCCGGCCGTCGCTCTGCGCCGTGGCGGGCGGCGGCCGCTCCTCGGGCTCCGCCATGGTGCCGCTGACTGAGCGGGTGGCGGGAAGTGACGCCACGCGAAGGGCGGCCTCTGCTCCGCGACGCGTTTTGTCCCTCGTGGGACGCCGCCTTTTCCGTCACGTGACACGCCAGGAGTGTCACGTGCGGCGCGAGCCGTCCCGCCGGCAGCGGCCGCGCCCCGCCGGTCACGTGGTGCGCGCGCCCCGCTGGCAGCGGCCCGGGAGCGGGAGCGGGCTGGGCGAGGGAGCCACAGCCGGGGCGAGGGAAGAGAAGAGCAAGGGAAGGAGGGAGGAGGACATAGCACCGCTCGTCCGGCCGCCGCCGCCCGCCCCCGCCCCACCATGATCAAAGCCATCCTCATCTTCAACAACCACGGCAAGCCGCGGCTCTCCAAGTTCTACCAGCGCTATGTACGGGCGGGCCGGGGCTCGGCGGGGCGGGCGGGCGGGGGCCGGGCCGTGGCCGGACGGCAGGGTCGTACGCGAGGGCCCCCTGCCCTGCCGGCTGCGCCGGGCCCGGGGCAGCGCCGCGGGAGAGGGACGGTGCTGGGACTGCGTACTGGAGGCTTCGGAGCCAGCCGGTCCTGTTTTCCCTGGGAGTTGCCTTAAGGAGCTCCGGAGGTGAAGGGGGCAGCGAGGGAGGCAGTCTTGTCCGGCGGCAGGCTCGGCTCTCTGAGCTGTGGCGGGGAAGCGGCGCTCTGAACTCCGCTGTCCGTCGCCGTGCTGCGGGCCGGTGTCACGGAGGGGCTGGCAGGGCGGGCCGGAGGAGCTCCTAAACAGAACCGGCCCTTTCGGAAAGCCCCGGTGCCCTGTGAAATTGCAGATGACGTGAACACGTAACGAACTAGAAAAGAGCATTCTTTTACGTGGTAGAAGACAGGAAGCTCTGAAAAGGCAGCACAAACGCTCAGTCTGAATGGAAAGAAGGTGCACTGGAAACTCGTGATTTAGTTAAAGGATAAGAGATTTTAAGATACGTTTTGAGCACACTGTATTTCCTAGCAAATATGCTGAGGTCTACTTAGGCATTAAATACAAGAAAACAGTTGGTATTTCTTAAAATTACATAAACAAATAAGTCGTTTTTTAGCAGTGCAGTTACGTAGATTTGTGGCCTCTTTCTTGCAGCTCTGATGATTAGCGAACTCATAGTTCATTGGAAGGGATGTATCTTACTTGCACACCTCAGGGCAGAAGTGGTGACTGTGACACTTCAGTTTGCACGGTCAGGTTTTGAATTAAAGGAGCGTAACTGGTACAGGTCCTTCTTGGGTGTGACTGAAGTAGAAGGGAAAGGAGATGAACAAATGGCCAGAGGATACCAGATTTTTCTTGTAAAACCATTCTGATCTCTTAGTTTCATAACTGGTGTTTAAACAAATTCTCAGGGCTTAAGTAGGGTAATATGTTTGTGTAAACAGAATGTTCTGAAGTTTTGAAAATGTGAGTAGCAAATTAAACTAAGAAACTTTCTGGTGCACAGAAACAGGTGCAATTATTTAAATTGTATTTCTGATGTGTGATTTCAGTAATGTGGATTTGTTTGTGGATGTTTTGAAACTTTTGCATTCTTTAGTATCAATTGAACTGGTACTAGAGGCAAATCTCAGCTTTTGTCTATGAGGGGATGCATCTCCTGCTTTCTAGAGGGATTAATTTGGTCAGATCTGTGAAAGCAGTACTTACTTCTGTCATGATACTGAAACTTATAATATGGGTCTGACTTTTTCAGCTGATATATGTGAGAACAGAAACTGCATAAAATGGAGTTAGTATTTCGTAGTTAGGTAGAAAAACAATTTATGGCAATTAAAATACATGTCATCATTTCGTCTTTCAGAATATAGACCCATGGCCGTAATTTCAGAGTTAAAAATAAAGTTTCTAAAGAGCCAGAAGAATTGGGTCTCAGAAGAGATATTCTGCTCTGCTAAGAGTTAAGGTCATGGCTTAGGAGAACCTGTTGCTCATGGTGCCCTTGTGTTTTAGGGTATTTCTGGAAGTGTTACATATTGTGGGATTTGAAGCTTCCTTGCTCTCTTCGAGCTTTGAGGATTTTGTTTTACTCTCAGTTTATGGATAAAAGTAGTTCCGGCTACCTTGGAGATACAAAACATTCGAGATACTTGAGAGCACTTCTGGTTTACTTAAAACTACTTTTAGATTAATTTGTACCGAAGTTCCCAGTTTTCCACATTACTCAGTTATACCTTCTTCTGCAACTTGTAAATAATGTCTTTTTGTGTTGAAATGCCACAAACAATACATGTCTTGTTAACTGGCAGATTTAAGGCTTCAGAAGTACATAGTTTGAGAGTGCTGATGTACTTTGTGTTTTACAGTCTTGTGTGCTGTGCGTTGTCAGTCCTGTTTAGCAAAGTGTATTTTCTTTCACAGAGTGAAGATACGCAGCAACAAATTATCAGAGAAACTTTCCATTTAGTATCAAAACGTGATGAAAATGTCTGTAATTTTCTAGAAGGTGGACTGTAAGTATCAAGTTTGAAATAAATGCCCAAATACTGGCTTTCAAGTATTATTATTTCTGATTACCTTACAGCTTTTCACAGCTGTAATGTAAATGCCATGCCACTTGAGACTTGTTGATACACAAGGAATTAAATCATTCTGCAGCAAGTGTACATATTCTTCACTAACTGAAGCATAACTGTATATACCAAAATGTCTTAGGCAATAAAATTTTTTTTTCTATTGCTGTAATGGCCACAGTGCCATATCAAGTGCCATGATTATTTCAGATACAAGGATGGGGAAGGAACAGGCAGATGTTGTTTTGCTATAATCAAGCTAAAGATTTCTGGTCACATTTTAAGAGGCATTGGCATATGCCATACACACTGACTCACTGAATCACAGAAAATTCTGAAGGGATCCACAAAGTGTCTGAAGTGAAGGACCTATACAGGAATCCAGAGTGCAGCCTTGGTGTTTTTAGCACCATGCTCTGACCAACTAAGCTAAATCTCTAGAAAATTAAATACTTTGGAACTGTTCTTTGGCTTGAACTCCTAAAATTTGAGCAGACAACCTTTATAGTAGGGTTCTGCAGCCTTTTTATCAGGATTTGGGCTTGCTGTATGAACTAAGAAGAAAAAAAAAGTTTTAAATGTGCTAACTAGTACAGTTTCAACCAAGATATTTTATTAATAAAGGAGAACCAAGGCAGGAGGAAAATGAGGCTTACGTGTTCTGTCTCTGTAAGACACCAAAAAAATCTCTTTAGAATCATCTTCATAGTTTTTGGAAGTCATCTTGCTTTAGCTGAAGAAATTCTGAAATGGAGATGTATTTTATTTTGAAATATTTACTAGCCATCAAGAGTAAATAGATAAAAAGCCACCTTCTAGAAGAAGGAATCAGAACCGGTGGAAAAACCTCATGATCTCCAGTGTGGGACAGAGATTGTCATAGTTAAATATTACATTTATGGGCATTTCTGGTTACTGAAAGTTGATCTTCTAACACCTAGATTTTCTGTGTGCAGAGTCAGTTAAATGCTTAGCTCTACCATATCAGCTAGGATATCTTTTTTCTTGCTCAAAATTATGCCTGTTTTTTTATATACTGTTTTTTAAATATAAATTATTATTTTCTGACAACTCAGCTGGTGATTCTATCATCAGGTTCTTGGAGGTGATCTCAAGTTGGAAACATTCTGGCTTGAATTCTGTAAGTCAAAGGCAGAAGACATTTGGAGCTTTTTAAAAATCACAGCTGCTTAACAAGAATAAACAGACAGAGAACAGAATTCTGGCTTTCCTTCTACTGCTCAGTTACAGGGTTACCATTTCAATATTTTTTTCAGTATTTTTTTCTTTCAGGACAGGGTTCACTTTATAGTTTGCAGTTAACCCAAAGGCCTCAACAGTTTATGTGTAGAAGTATGTATACTTCAAGTATGAAGTATTTGAAAGAACTGGGTAAATAGATGACACAAGAAGAAACTTCAATTGCTAGGTATTTCCGCTGTTCTATTTTTTTGTAATACTGTTGTCTGATACATAAACGTAATTCCTGCTCTTCAGAAACAGAGTTCCCCGTCCCTACTCCCATCCCTGGTCTCTGCCAAGCATTAACGCAGAGCAATGTGCTTAAGCAAAAGTGACCTAAAAGATTTTAATTCTTTTTTAAATCTGTGTATTCTCTCCCTGTGATAATGACAGAAACTAAAGGGATGAGTTACGTTGCACCAAATGGGTGATGCAGTTCTGGTACAGAATTAAGGAAGAATCACAATAGTCATGGCCATGTAGGTTCAGCCTAAAAAATACTTTTGTTTCTCTTGGAGTGGGTCTCTTACAGCTCAAAGCAAATGTCAGTGATCTGATGTAGATCTCCTGTGCTTTATGTGCCTTTTTTTGGAAGGCTATAGCAGAAGAGTGGAAGAACATACCTCTTTAGACCTCTTCTCATTCAGTGCCATGATGATTAGTGAGTCCATAAAAATATAATTGCTTCTGTGACTGTAACATTGCATCATAAACTATTGCTTGAAGCATCGTCCTACTTCTCAAGATGCCAAACATTTGTAGCACAAATGTTACATGTTCTTGGTTATTAAATGGATCATAAACCTAATTTAAGGTGTTTTTTTGGTAATCCAAATGCCAGTCTTCATTACAGTTTGTTTTGGTTTTTTTTCCCCTCTTGATGCTCTTCTGAGAAGGTGAGGAAAGGATTCATAGGCATACACTGTTAATCTGTAAAGCAGATTAATCCCTGTGCAGTGGCTGCCTGCTAGTGTGGAATGGAAGGACGTTTAATATCTGCTTTTTATTGTGATCTGTTTGAATTGATTTTAATAAAAAAACGTGCACAGGTTGATGTCATTTTTATTCATATGGATAACAATAATTGCTTGTGTGGTAAATGTAAATTGGTCTGTATTGTTACTTAGTCTTCTGTTGGAATTATATCACAAAATAAAAGTTGCAATATAGTTGTATTTAGGATAGCTCCAGCTGTTAATAATAGGCCTCCTATTAATTGAAATTACTGTGAGGATTTGCTCAGCTTACCTGAGAAGCTAACTAAGCTTTTCTTGTTTTATTTTCTCTTTAGATTAATAGGTGGATCTGATAACA